TCCAAAGCCTACTCTTTTGTCCTGTATTATCTATGTAAGGAAAGTGTATTCACTTTCTGTTGCTGCATAACGTATCACCACAAATTTAGTAGCTTCAGCATTAATCGGCTTATGGTTCTCTACGAGGTCTAGCATGGCATGGCTGGATTCTCAGTTGAAAGAATCAATTTAGTTCAGATTATTCTTTCTTACTGGGTGAGTGTCCTTCTAGGAAAAGTCTAGTACTTTTTAAGGCTTTATTTGATTAGGTCAGGTCCATCGAAGATGACCGCCCTTAAAATCCCAACTGAATTAGGACTTCAATTACATCTTCCCAGTTCTTGCACAATAACATATAGATTACCTCTCAATTGCATAATTGCAAGGAGATGTGTACGCTTTAGGGTCTTATGATCTTGGGGGCCATCTGAAAAGCCAGCCCCCAAGAATGTGGTTCATTTATATTACAAATTCCATGATGAGATATGGATAAGAACATTCTTGGCCTTAGGCAGAGGGATTTCAACTTTGGAAAGACTTTGGAAATGTCACCTTACCTTCACCTCTTCTGTACCCATGGGCAAAAAGGCATATATCTTGGGGTGGCAGGGAATGAGGCTGAAACAGTGCCTGTGGGCCACAGAGGGTAGAGAAGCTACAAATTAATCACTTCTGCTTCCTCTTGGGAATGTACCATGGAATCTGATTCGAAAAATCTTTCTCTGGTACTTTAGAGACAGCCTCTATAGAAGTCTGGTGCCCTAGGACTGGAAAGCGAGCTCCCCAAGATCCAGTTATATCAGGCAGGATGCTCCAAGCCCAGATATGGATAAGGAAGAACTTTGCCAAGGTCCTTTCTTGTCACCACTTGACCTAAAAGACAGGGAAATAATAGAGAAAATCAACATTAGTACTATCCAGTTTTACTGACCCCTTTGTTTTGGCTTCATCACTCAGTTTAAGGAAGTCAATGAGTCTCTGCCTTAACACAGTGGCTGTCTGGCCTGTACCTCACATGGAAGAGTTAGATTTGACTCTGGGGCTCAGGTGCAGGGGAAGGGTGGGGTGTGGGGGCAGCCTTCATGGAAGAAAACAAGGCCTTGGGCATTGAGTAACAGCTGAGACTAGCAAGCCTCATTGTCCAGCATTCCAAGTCATTTAGCAACATGCTGGCCTCTGCTATGGAGAGAGAACAGAGGATCCCCCGGCAGAATGAATGGAATCTGATTTCAATTATGTTCAGTACAGTCACCCTCTTTAGGCTGAGAGGCCAGAACACCTGGTGCGGCTTGGGCCACTGTGGCTATAGGAACAACACATTATCCGGGTCCTGGATGCAAGCGGGAATGTGGCCTCTCTTCCTCATGCATATGCCTTATAGGTCTAGTGGAAGAGGATGCGAAATGACAGACAAGTTTTCATTTGCACTATGTAAAGAAAGGGGAATTATTTCATCTTGATGGCTTCTCCCCACAGTCTCTGTACATATTGATCTTGATTGTAATGAGTTTGCTTCAGTCCACAAGTCATCACCCCACTGAGAACTGAGTCAGTGGTGAGAGAGTCGAGGTGACAGATTATATCTCACTGATCACGCCAGCGCCATGCTCTGTGGGTCCCTCCACCTTTTGAAAAAGCTCATGGATTCATCTGTATAGAATTCATTTGGATCCTTTTCTTCTTTATCAATAGCTTTAGTAGAATATGGCAGATGGAACAGCTGCCCCAGAGAGCAGTCTATATTCACAGCACTATTCAATAAAACTTTTGAGATGATGGAAATGTTCTGTATCTGTGTTGTGCAATTTAGCAGCATCTAGCTACCTGTTTCTTTTGAACACTGGAAATACATCCAGGGAGACTGAGGGATGACATTTTCAATTCTCTTTAATTTTAGTTAATTTAAATTTAAATAGCCACACATGGCTAGTGGCTACTATATTAGGCAGTGCAATTCTAGGAGCTCAGAAAGGCACATACTGAGATAGTGCAGGAATGAGTTTATCAAAGAGAGAATGGAATATGGATCATGTTAAATTAGGAATAAGAGCCCTGGTTCTAATCCCAGCTCTGCCACTAGGTCACCTCACCCTCTCTATGTTCAGCCTCCCCATCTCTGACTTGAAAGGTTGGACTAATATCTGAGTCCCCAAATGGCACCTAAGGACTTAATTTAATTTTAGAATACCTTTCCAGTGGTAGGACAATAGTATGACACTCATTCCAATTCACTACAGTGCCAACCATTCTCCTACACATATGTGCACACAAAAGTACCCATCCACTGTATTACCTGTGAGGATCCTGAGGGTATTTCAATCTGTGACCTCTGGATAATATGATTTCTATTGGTCCCTTCCTGTTTTGTCATGCTGTGACTCTTAAGGCACTATAATATTCCAAATATGGTTTCATTTAGGCAGGTGACTGGAGTATTTTCATTGCTTCCTGTTTCTTCCCTTCTGGATGTGATACTAATTACTGAAGTTTGGAGTCAAGGGTAAAGATGAGTGGCAAGGAAGTTACAACCCCAGCAACACTCTTCAATTCTTCTTTTAGGCTTAAAGTTAAGCTTTGAGGCATAGGCCTGACATCATAAAAGAATGTGTACTTTGAAGTCATCAGGGCAGATTTAGATTATTGGGTTCTCCTTCTTGACAGCTGTGTTTACCTCAGTTTACACATTTGCAAACCAGGAATAAAAAATATCCCTGACCCCCTACCAAGACTGCTGTGGAATTAAATGGTTTAAGATATCCATAAATTGAAACACAAGAAGGGGAATCACATGGTCTTGCAACTACTAAGCTCAAGGACAGAAAGTACCACTGATGGGGAGGGTGGGGTCTGCTTGTAAAAATTGCACAAGGGAAAAGATCCTAAAGGCATCACCACTGTGTGGAGCTGTGTTTGAGAACTCATGTTAACAATGGATTTACCAGACAATGAGATATTGTGGAGGCTAGGCCTCTAGCTCTAGAAGAAGATTGACTTGGCCCAGACCATACCTTCCAGCCATTGCCCTTGGTGGGAAGTAGGAGTTGGCAGTGGGTACTCATATCTCATTACTGGCTGTGCCCAAGCCCTGCAGAAATGATTGTTGAACAAGGTCATCTTGCACTCAGGGTTGGTTTCCCAGGCTTTCTTCTTATTTTTCTCTGAGTTCTTCTCTGAGCTCCTCTTGTGTTACCAACCCCATCATTGTCCTCTTCCCACATTGTCAGTACAGACATGTGATCCATTCTTGCATTGATTTACTGAGCAACACTATGATTGGGGTTTGCATTGCAGGACTTATTTTTCCAATTAGAGTTTAAAGTCAGTTCCAGATATATGTCTTTTTCTGCAGGAGGCAGAAATAGATGAGCAGTAGGTTTTCTTGTATTTATCAATTTAAATTGAGAAATCAAACTTGTCTTAGTTTTATACCATTTTAATATATTACTATTTAAAAAGGATTAGAGAAAAAGTGGTTTATGATACACTCTGGTGCATCTGTCTATGCTAGACTTCAGAGTTATGACCTTTTCAATTATTTATAGTCATGTCAATAAAAATGCTAGGCAAAATAGCACAAAGTAAACATTGGAATGCCAAAGGACCTTTAGCTCTGTGTATGTGTATGTGTGTGCATGTGGTGAAGATGGTTCTTAAAGTTAGAGTTTTGGATTATTGTGGTTTGTTAAAAGAATGTTATTTCTATTATCCTTTCTAATGGCTGTCTCCTAGTATGGTTCCCAGTTTACAGACAGATGGTAAAGGCAGAGACATTCCATCATTTCTCTGATACAGTTAAGGATTTCAGCTTTTAGAGCATGTTCAACTATGGGTATAATTCTGACAACATCTGAGGCTCGTTACAGTGTTCAGTGAGAAATAGTACACTAGAAAATTCCTGTTCATTGCACCCAAATTGTTATGATAGAAATTTGTAGTCTGAGAATGTAATGGACCATGTAGGCCATTTTTTAAACTTCATTCCCATTTGATACTTAAATTCTCAATTATTGTACATCTATTCTCTGATAATCCATAGTGACATAAGTGCCTAGAAACTTTTCCATCTTCATAGAGCTTTAACTATAGAAATGTATGTGTGGAAGCAAACTAAATTCCAAGAGGCTATACTAGACACCCAAAGAGAAAGTTTCATCATCCTTCAAGAGAGCTGTTTCCCTGGCAATTTGCTAGACATCCTAGACGTAGACACATTTACATCACTGTCTTAATTTACAGTGTTCATTATTTATATATTACCTATAAGATAAAGCATAAACTTTTAATAATATATGCATGCACCTTTAAAAATCAACCCTCATATTTGTGTTCAATCTTATAAATAGCCACTCTTCTCAATATGAAATATGCACACCATCCATATTGTTCTATAGTTATGTCTCTGCATAGTGTAATTCTCATCACTCTTCAAGGGCTAGGTAAGATGCCCCCTTTCATGTAAAGCATTTCCTAACCCCCCAAATTAAGTGATATTATTGTTTCTTCTCTTTTTTTATGCTTCTATTGTAGCATTTACAAGTGTGACATTTTCTGGAACTGTTTGTGGGCATTTATTTATTTTCCATCAGATTGCACCAGTACCTATCCTTTTCTTCACTCAGAAAAAAGGTCTAATAGTGTATGTCTGTTGAATTAATTAATGAGTAATTGAATGAATGAATGCACCACAAATATTCATAAATGAATTAATGCAAAATTCCAAGTATGAATAATGAAGGCTGTATTCAGGCAGAAACAATTGCAAGGGTATATTAGGTGGCCTGGCAGGAGGATCAGGGGAGAAATAAAGGTAAGAAAGTTTGGGTTTAGCAGGAATATAGGATGACAAATCATCTATTCCACCAATGTTGAATGATAACATGTTATTAAGGAGTTTAGAGTCTGTGACCAGGGAGTATGAACATCTTTATTTTCTTAGCTCAGGCAATTTACCGAACAGGGTAGCTCTGCTGTGTGCTTTTGGTCACTGATGATAAATTTAAGTTTCTTTTCCTTTTTAATAGCCCGTAAGCTGAAGAAACTTGGCAATCTAAAACTACAGGAGGAAGGAGACACTTCTAGTGCCGGCAGCCCCACTGAGGAACCAGCCCAGAAGATGACAGTATCACACATTGAAGGTTATGAGTGCCAGCCCATCTTTCTCAATGTCCTGGAAGCCATTGAGCCAGGTGTGGTGTGTGCTGGACATGACAACAACCAACCTGACTCCTTTGCAGCCTTGCTCTCCAGCCTCAATGAACTGGGCGAGAGACAGCTTGTGCACGTGGTCAAGTGGGCCAAGGCTTTGCCTGGTAAGGAAAAGGAAACAAGGGCAGGGAATGACGATCATATTTAGGGAACACTCCTGTGGGCAATGTATTCATTAATTCAGGCAGTCCTCACTATTAAGCTATGGGGACAGGATTGCTATAATCCTCACTTTAAACAACAAGGAATTGAGACTCAGAAAGCAACAAGAAAGGCAGCATGATTTGAGTGTCCCAGATGACTCATGATAATGTACAGCTGTCAGATCCTCTTGTTCAACATGCAGAATTGGTCAGCAAAAGGTACAATAATTATTAATCATATACACATACCTACATATGCCTTAAGATGCTCTTACATATACATACATATTTATGGCTAACTCCAGAGATAATCTTGATCCTGACAGTGCATCTTCAATGTCACTTTCAGGAGCTATACCACAGGACAACTTATATAGTATGAGATGATAAAAAAAGAACACAGGGTTGGGCGTTAGAACACTTGGATTCTTTTGTAAGGTACTGGGTATTGAACCCAGGTGTACTTAACTACTAAGCCACATCTGCATCCCTTTTTGTTTTGTTTTAATTTTTATGAGACTCTTGCTAAGTTGCTTAGGGCCTCCCTAAGTTGCTGAGGCTGGCTTTGAATTTGGGAACCTCCTGCCTCAGCCTACCAAATTGCTGGGATTACAGGCATGTAACACAGTGCCCAGTAGAACACTTGTGTTCTAATCTTAGGTCTGCTGGTAACTTCACCTTCTCAGTCTGTTTCTCCAAATGTATAATGTGTAAGGAATGCTTTGGATGGAATTAATAGTTTTAAAATTTTGATTCAAGAAACCTTTAGTGCTCTATCATGGTTGAAAGAAAATTTATGTGATAGTGAAATAATTGCCAAGTGTTCGTCTAACTTCTGCTTGGACACCTCCAGGAATGGAAAACTCCCCTCCTAGGATATCTGTTGTTTGAACAAGTCTGATTAATAAAATATTAAAGCTTAAGGAAGCGATCCTCTATCCAAGGATTCATAGACTTTCCATTAGCAACCCAAATTCTTTATTTATCCAAAAACAATTGGGGATGTAGCTCAGTGGTAGAGCACTTGCCTAGCATGTGCAAGACCCTGGGTTCATTCCACAGGACCACAAAAACGTTTTTATGCAATTACCATGAATTAATATTTATAATTAAACATCAGTAAACTAAAAATTAAATTTAAGAATCATTGTACCCAGATACAAGTAAAGCTATTGATTTAAAGGCAGTCTTTTGCCTGTGTCTCACTAACTCAGCTTGTCCCTCACTACTGCAGGTAAGCCCCCCTCTTAGTCTTGCAGAATCTTGTGGCTTCAAGTAAAACAGTTTGAAAACCAGTGAAGCATGTGCTCTATAAAGGTTCTCCAAATCCTGAGATTGTGATTCAAAATTCTTTTGAAATATCAGCAACCAAATATCCTTTTGTGAAGTCAAAGATTAACCTGCCTTCTAATAATATTTGCTATTCAGATGGAAAATTATAGTGAGAAGAGCAGTTACCTGATTTGATTCTCATAAGAATCCTGTAAAGTAAGGGTTCCTTCTTAAATTTTTCAAAGACAATGAAGCTCTGAGAAGAGAGGTGATTGGCCTATAGTTACACAGCCAGAAAACAGTAGGGCCAGAACTTGAGCCCCCTGATTTCAAACATCCTCCTCGTTCCACTCTATATTCTGTAGCACCTCAGCCATTCTGTAACTCTGAGATTTACAGTGAGGGGTCAAATCCTCACCACCAAAGGCCACTTGGGTCATATGGTGGGCTTGCTATTTTCAGAGACATTGCATGTGGGCCTTCAAACTCCTACTTTGTACTTCTACCTCACAAAGCCCAGTTGTAGCCATTACACTGTCTCTAATATTTTCCCAGGTTGGAAAGCTGTGGTTATCTAACCAGTGTGATCTCTGGGAAAGAGGCCCAAGGCCTCTGGGTGAATATGTACTGTGCCAAAACTGAGAGTTCACATAGACAGGAAAAAAAATTACAATAAAGAAAAACGAGAAAGTTGTTTTAATTCTTCTTATTTATTTACCTGGATGTCTTGATGTCATGTGTTTGATAGACATTTATAGTTTAATCTTCCATGCATGGTGGTACACACCTGTATTCCCAGCAGCTTGGGAGGCTAAGACAGGAGGATCATGAGTTCAAAGCCAGCCTCAGCAAAAGCGAGGTGCTAAGTAACTCAGTGAGACCCTGTCTCTAAATAAAATACAAAATAGAGCTGGGGATGTGGCTCAGTGGTTGAGTGCCCCTGAGTTCAATCCCTGGTACCAAAAAATAGTTAAATAAATAAAATTTAATCTCCCTAAGCCATAACCAAATACTTAACATGTGTCTATTTATAGGGTGCATAGATTTTCATAAATGGGATCCTCAAAATTCTCCTCTGAATCATAGGGACAATTATTTCCATTTTACATGCCACACCTCAAAGAGGTTAACTAACTTGCTACACTGGTCACTTAACAAATGGAACCAAAAATTGAGCTCAGACCCTCTGATTGCTAATTCAGTCATCTTGAATATAATCTACTGCAAATAACTATGGCAGAATTTGTATAACAGGACCACTGGCTTTCCTTGGCTCAAGCCTTAGGAGGAAAGCCCTCTTCTTACATTAACAAATCTTCAAGCCAAACTCAGCTCACCATCTAGTTTGCCAGAGTAAATGATCTCTAACTCTGAGTCATTTAGAAGAATAGCTTTAAAAGAAAACTGATTACCACATTCATAAGGACTGCCATTCACATTGTCAATAATTACCTCTAGTTCAAGTAATTTGTTCATCCAACAGATTGAATTCCTATCCTTTGTGAGGCACTGTGCTAAACACCTAGTCAGATAATTTTTTTTGTAAGTTTTCTGTGATGGTAATGTCTGGAAATTGCCTACTAGGACACTTGGCACATTAATAAATTCTAACTATAAATGAAAGCCAAGCAAATAGATTGTATGTGCACAGTATATTTAGAATAAGATGTATCTGGTTTGGAATGCTAGCTATGTACTGGTTATGTGCCTGCAAGCAAATCACATGTCTTCTTTGTGCTTCTTTCTTTACATTTGTAGTCTTGAGTTCTAGGCCACTTCTCTCACTAAGCTTAATCCAACCTACCACTACCCTTCCAAGAAGCTCATGCAGGGACCCCAAGTTTGAACTGTCTTCTTTGAAAACCTTGACTGGCAGGTGCAATACAGCAGCAAATATTTCTAAACCAGTCTTGCTTTGAGTCTGTTATCCCAGACTAGATGTGGGCCTTCAAGTTTCCACAGCAGATTGCTAATAAGGATTGGATTCTAATGAGAAAACAAAGAAACTGCCTCTGCTCCCTAGCCTGTTTGGTGGATTTTAAAACATCAGAAGGGCTCCTCTCTAGTTCTCCAGAATACCCAAACACATTGCCAAATAGGTGTTGAGTGAATGTGTGCCTACAGAAATATGTAGGGCTACTGTTACCTCAAGCCATACCTTGGAAACCATGCTATCTGAGCAGGCCATTGTGCAAGCTAGGCATAGAGTTAGATGTTGTAATCAGATTATGCCTATAGGAAAATTGGCCATCCACAGTGCTAATGTGTGCACAGTCATTAGGTTTGCAAGCTGAGCAGTTTTCACTAAGGACTGTTAGTACGATAGTCATTTTCATCTCTTACATTAGTTTTCTGGTGTCTCGCGGTGGGAGGAAGCATCTGTATAGACAATTTCTTTACTAACTTTATAATTTAATCTTCATCCCTCCATCATCCCTCACATTCATCCCTCACATTCACACACTTCACTAGAAGATCACGATTCCCCAGTATTGTTGTTTTGGGGTTTTAGGGGGGTTTTGCTTATTGGTTTGTTTTCTTTTTGTTTGTTTTTGTTTGGGGTTTTTTTGTTTTGTTTTGTTTTGGGTTTTTTTTGTTGTTGTTGTTGTTTGCTGTCTACTGCCTCCTACTCCAGAGGTTCAGGGTACAAAATCCCAGGCCACTTTCTCAAGGAATCTCAGATATTGCCCTCGTGGACCCTGTATCTTGTCTCTTACTGGGAAAGGTCGGTTTCAGGCATTCTGTAATATGGGAAAGCTCCAGGCAGGAAATTGTCTGGGTTCTGAGGATCCAGTCAGTCTGTTAGCATGTCAGTATCATCAAGGTAGAAAGCACAGGTCTAGGAGTTGAGATTACAGCCAGGGGTGTGCTGTGAAAGACTCTAGCATCCCTGATCTCTGGAAGATGGGATCTAAAAGAAAAGGGAAGTGGAGATGTGAGGGAGTGCAGATGCCAACCAAGCAGAACAATATGTCTGGGTAGTGAAGTCTTCAGACTCAAGCCTATGGCAAAGGAAGGTTGGTGACCTTGGTAGCTCCTGAGGTGAGACCTTCAGCAGTGGAGCGGAAAAAGCATTGGAGCAGAGAATCAAAACACCTGGGTTCCAGATCCAGTTCAGCCACATATAGACTATGTGACCTTGACCAAGTCAGTTAATTTGTCTGGCCCTCAGGTTCCTTGTTGATAAAATAAGTGTCACATCACCTACCTTCCAGGGTTATTATGAGGATCAAATGTGGTCATCAATAGGAAAGTGAGAAACTTGATCTGAAGTCAAGACAGAATTCTAAATGAAGTCAAGCAAAACAAAATTTCAGATAATTATGAATTTATTGGGGAAAAGAAAAGGGGATACTGGTAGGGATGAGGTCTGAGACAATGACTTTATAACTTTAAGCATTCAACTCTTTTGCAATCTTCAGGGAACATGGCTATGTCTATTCTACCCATGTGCTATTTCAGAGGTAGCTTCCAGAAGGGTCTTGTTTTCTGAGCTTAAGGGAAGTCATTTGGATATTATTTAATTCCCATTTTTTCAAAATGGAAATAAAATTGAGGGCCCTTAACTTATTTGTTTAGTATTTCTCAAATGCCCAGTTAAACACCTGAATCATGGTATGTACTAAGAAAGCAAAGATCAATTAGAAGATAGGACTCCTGTCTTCAAGTTGCTCCAAGGCTTTCAGGCAGAAAACAAGCATATAGATGGATTTCAGGGCTGTGAAATTATCACTGTAATTGGCTAGGGCTACAGTACGTGCAATGAGCAAGTAAAAGAAGAATAATTATTTTGCTTGGATGAGTTGGAAAACGCTTCAGAGAGGAGGTGGCCTTTGAGTAAAGACTTGAAAGATGAGTAGGTGTTTATCAGATGGAAGGCTTTTGGAGGGGGAACACAGGCAAGACAACTATCTATTCAGAAGTAGCAGAGCTGTAGAGGCCTGGGAAAGGATGAAGTTTTCAGTATATTTTAAGTTTTTCAAAAGAACTAGGACCTAAATTATCTGAAGGCAAGTTGCAAGAAATTAGTCTGGAGAAGCAGACTATAAAGGGCCTGTTTGTATATAAGTGAAGTAGGCTGAGAATGGCAAGAGTGTAGAAACTATTAAGTATAAAAGAATGGAGAGGAGGTATATGGGGTAGAAAGAAGGTCAGAGAAAAGAGAGAGAGCCTGTAGGTGGTTTAAAGAAGGCCAGTGGCTGTCAAGACATTCCTCCTATAAGATAATATATAGTAATATCCCTTTCCCAAGATTGTTACCAGGATAAAATCAAACTGTAGCTAAGAGAGCTTTCTAAACTTAGAAGTGCTGTCCATGTGGAAGAACTGGTTATTATACTGTATCTTCAGAAAGGTGTGGTGATCAAAAGCATGGCCTTTGGAGTCTGATTACTTGGCTTTGGAACTTGATCTGCCAGTTAGTAGCCATATGATCTTGGACATGTTATTGACCCCTCTGTGACCCATTCCTACTGATTTGCAGAATGGGGATAATAAGAATACCTATTTTATTCATTGTCATGAGAATTAAATGAAGTAATATAAGTAAAGTGCTCAGAAAGGAGTTCATTCATTATAAGTAGTCAATATTCAATTATTATTCTCTTCCAACTGACAATGGCCTTTTGGCCTCCATCATGATCTCATTTGAACAGTTCAGTGAAGTAGGGAGGGCAAAGAATATTATCCTTACCATATAATTTGTGTTTTTTTTTTTTTCATCACTCCTCAGAAGCCAGTACTGATATTCCCTGGGGCTTCTCAAGGGCTGCCTGAGTACTAGAGATTCTCAGTTCAGCAGAGGTAAAGACTTAGCTCAGTCCATCAATGTCTGCACTGACCACTGCCTTTGTGCCTTCTTTTCTAGGCTTCCGCAATTTACACGTGGATGACCAGATGGCAGTCATTCAGTACTCCTGGATGGGACTCATGGTGTTTGCCATGGGCTGGAGGTCCTTCACCAATGTCAACTCCAGGATGCTCTATTTTGCTCCTGACCTGGTTTTCAATGAGTAAGTATTCCTGGGACCAAGTCTCATATAGTTTCCTATTTTTAAAATAATAATAGAGACATCTCAAATGTTTTGTTATAACTAAATTGGATGGATATGGAGTATCTAGCCCATGGTAGGCAAGAAATTTAAAAAGGGAGTCCCTTTTTTATTCCCCCTTTTCCTAATGATGATAATCTTATGTTTACTGTCTGAGATCCTTCAATTGCATTGTGAATGGAGCTGGCCAGAATTATCATCCCAAAAACCTTGAGCTAGTTTTGCCACAGAGAATCTTTTCAGTCAGGCAGGAGTTGAGCTTCCCTCTTGGTCAGCCTTTAACCCAGAAGAGCCTTAAAATAAAACCTCCAGGCAGTAGTTCCTGGTAGCACAGCACTGCTATGCAAGAGAGAGTAAGTGTCCCCAGTTGCACTCTCTCAACCCAGCCGCCCCTGGTAGCCAGAATCTAAGAATAACCACTGGGCTTTTGGCATGACCTGCGTTGTGGTTTCCAAATCTCCAAAAAGTTACCTATGATGCCATCTTCTGGGCAAGACCTTGAAAAGCCCCCCTAACTGTTCATGTCCAACCCCCATGCCCCTGCTGCCCTCCAGTGATTGAATCAACTCCTTGAGCACATGTTCAAACTTCTTTAGAGTCTTGAGACCTTTGGAGTGTTGCCCAGAGACAACTGGTTATTTTCTGAATCCTTATTTCTTTCTTTGTTTCTATGTAAGCTTGTGGCATCCCACTTCAGCTTTCTGGCTGAGTCTCATCCATTTTGTCCAGAGGTATCACAGGGCTACCCATGGATCAGAGTCCTAGATGCACCAACTCCCAGAGTTCCTGAACCCTATTGAGGCCTACTTCCCCATCTTATTATATTAGGGCTTGCAAAGTCTCTGCAAACATCTGGACCAATGTTTCTCAACATCAATGCTGTTGACATTTGGGGAGGAATTTTTTTTCATTGTGTAAAATGTTCCTGCATATTGGAATATGTTTAACATCTCTGGTACCTGCCCACTAAATATTAAACATAAATCCAGTCACTCTGACAGCCTGACTGACCCACATATGTCTAACACCTACTGAGTAGACAGTGAACCCCAGTTGAGGGACAATAATTGCTGGCAGTCTCCTCAAAATACTAACAGAGGGACTAAGGCCCAAAGAAAAAGATAATGGGGGGACTGGTCCAAGCTGGACCAAGCCATATGCCATTCTCTCTGATTCAAAATCCTATCATTATCCCCATTTTCCCCTTCTTTCCCTTTTTTGCAGGGAGCATATGTTGTAAGGCTAAAGGGCTTGAATCCTAATTGTGACCTCAGGGAAATTACTGAACTTCTCTGAGCCTCAAATCTTACCTGTAAAATCTTAGTGTCACCTCCCTACATGTCATTTATTGAGCACTTACTATATGCCAGGAACTATGCTCAGTGTTTTCCAATCTTCATTTCCCACCTTATCCATTTTTGTATCCCACCTACCTCTATTCTCCTTCCTGAATTCCATTCCTGCCTCTCCTTTTCTGACCTCCCATCACCTTCCCCTTTCCTTCCTTTAACTTTCTGTCAATTCATTTTGCCCTTTTCCATATTTCCTTTTCCTTTCCCTTCTGAATCCCTTACTTGCCTTTTCTCATTCTCTCTTCTTCATTCCCTACCTTCTCTGTCTCAGGAGCCTACAGCAATATGCTAGGAATCCTTCATGCCAGCACCATAATTTGAGCAGTAAAAAGGTTGCAGTGTTGTCATCAACAGAGGCATGGAAGTACAGTGGAGATCAGAGAAGGGCCAGGCTCCAGAATTAGCAGGTCTTACTGAAAAATTCCCCAGGGTGATGGAGCTTAGAGCAACACTGTTCTGGTCAATTGATTTGTGATACTATCTAAACACTTCCTCTTTCTAGTTGGAATTCAGCCTGAATTGAATTATTCTGCAGCACCTGCCCCCTTTTTTCTTTATCCAGGAGACCCAAGATCTGTCTGAAATAGGTTGCTGAGCTTCCACCCACACAATGCCAAGCCCGCTCAGCTTGTGGAACAGGCTAGTGGCTTGGAAACCAAAATGTCAAACCACAGACTTTAGGCTCCATCTGGGAGGTCTTTGTCCCCACCACTTAAGTGGGTGTCAAATCCCTTTTTCTTGACATGGTACACAATCAATTACTGTCTTACACACACACACACACACACACACACACACACACACACACACTTGATTTCTGAAGTGCCAAACCCGGAAGGCCTACTAGCAGAAAGATACTGTATCTTCCCTTACAAGTATGCGATGACCCATCATGGGACAGAGGGGTTGCCTCCTCCCCAAGCCTTGGCCACTTCCCCATATAATTTATAGGTGATAATGTGATAATCTGTTCACAAGTCACCATAATAAAAGCAGCTCACATGTGTTTACAGCTCCCAAACTGTGGCAAGGAACAGCCAGCCTGTGAGGGAGTGGTCTCCCCTTCAGCAGGAGACATTTAGATTCAGACATTCAGAAAAACTTCCTGGCAGACATGGAAGCACTAGAACTCATTTTCAAAGGACAACATGGAATCTCTATTGCTGCAAGTTTTAAAAGAAATGGTTAAATTTGTACTATGAGAAATGACTTTCAAACCAAGAGCCAGTCAGGGGTGTTGACAGGATAGACACCTGTGGTCACTTGCAAATCCTGTGTCCTTATGTGAAGTGCTGATTGCTGGATCCTCTCTCCTAGAAATCCTTCAAGTTTGGCTGCCTTGGAGGCAGGTTCTGCCTCTTGCTGTAGCTGGGATACTAGAACTGTAGTCAGGGAGACCATGTGCTTGCCCCATTGTGTTCATTTGGTTATGCTTTCCTGTCCCTGACTCAGGAAACAGAGGGGGCATGGAGACCTGGAAATTCCATGTGCTAACCCATATCCTGGCCAGGGAAGATGAGTAGTTAATTATCAGGATGCCAGGATTTTAGAAAAAAAGAACAGATTTGTTCTTTGTCAATGAAGCACCAGCAGGACAAATAGACTTTTTTTGAAGAAGCCAAGGAAGGGAGGAAAAACTAGAGATATTTCCTCTGGGCTTTTTGGAAGCCTCCCCTGATTCCTCTTCTTCCTCTGTATCTCCTTCACAGGTACCGCATGCACAAGTCCAGAATGTACAGCCAGTGTGTCCGAATGAGGCACCTCTCTCAAGAATTTGGTTGGCTCCAAATCACCCCCCAGGAATTCCTGTGCATGAAAGCATTGCTACTCTTCAGCATAAGTGAGTACCTAGAGGCACAGGGAATGCCTGTGTGGTCACAAAGACTGAGGGGGGGCCACTTTTTCCATCAAAATATTATCAGGGAGGAACCAGCTCCTGGACAATTCCCTTCTTCCCTCCCCCCACTACATCAGCATCTTTTTCCCCAACAAAAACCAATGTCATGGCTACAGATCAATTTCTTTGGTGGACTCGAGCCTCCATCAAGTCTTAATCTACCTGTCCTTAAGACTAGGTGTTTTGACTGGTTCTAGCACGCCTCTGATTTTTTTCCCCACATTTTCTGGGATAAACAGGCATGAACCATCCCACTGTGTATTCCTTGCAGAGTAGTAGAGCAGGAGGGATTGTCTCCTGGAAGACATTTTCTCTTCCACCAACAGGAGGAAGTCTATGTTAGCAGCTTGTTTGGCAGCCAAGCAGCCTTTCTTCAATGTCTCTTCTAAGAAGAGTGCTATCTTAGCCTGTGTGAAAAAGAAAGGAGGCATGATTTCATATTCAGAGCCCTGTGTTTTAATTCTCTCAATCAGAGCTGAATGATGAAAAACATAAAAACTTAGATCCTAAGAAATGGGTACTTGAGAAGACTAGCAAAAGAAAAGTTTCAATGAATTTTATTTGTTTCACTGCCTTCCGATTGGGTCCAGCTCTCCTTTTCCCTGAGATCTCCCTGGCAGACTGAAGGCCCCAGGCACACAGATTTCAATTGTCAGTGAGCCAAGTAGATGGTTCCCTCCCTGTGGGGGTGGGGGTCAAGTTTGTGGTCAGAAAACTTGGTGCTTTGTCTAATGCTCCTTCGTGGGCATGCTTCCCCTCCCCATTCTGTCTTCATCCCACATCAGTTCCAGTGGATGGGCTGAAAAATCAAAAATTCTTTGATGAACTTCGAATGAACTACATCAAGGAACTCGATCGTATCATTGCATGCAAACGAAAAAATCCCACATCCTGCTCAAGGCGCTTCTACCAGCTCACCAAGCTCCTGGACTCTGTGCAGCCTGTAAGCAAATGATGGAGGGTGCTTTATCAGGGAGAGCAGCCTGATAGAGCCAAGTGATAATAGGCTTCTGGATGGTCTGGCACCACCTGTTGGGAGGTGCTTCCATTTCCCTCTGGCTTTGAGTGTGGTCCAGGAAGAAAATGCGATGGAGAAGAAAGGAACTCAGGTCACAGTGTTCCAGCTGGATGTTGTGAAAGGGGTGGAGGAGTGAATAGAGCAGTTGGGACTCAGAGAAGAAGCTTAAAGCACATGAATTCTCTAGTCAGACAAGATAGACCTGGATATTTTTCACCTCTTCCTTGAGTCATGTGCATGTGAATTTGCCTCTGTGTGTGGTGTGGTGTGTGTGTGTGTGTGTGTGTGTGTGTGTGAGAGAGAGAGAGAGAGAGAGAGAGAGAGAGAGAAATGGGAAATGGGGGGCCTGTACTGTGGAAGAGGAACACCCAGTTCTGAGTCACAGAGCTTGCAATGGTGTAAGAGATCTCTTGGGAGCCCCCAATGACTCCCCAGAGACAATTTAATACACACACACACACACACACACACACACATATACACACCACACCACACACAGAGGCAAATTCACATGCAAGACACACACACAGGCAAATTCACTCATGGGGCAGGACCAAGGATAGACAAGGGGACATAAATGCTAAAAGTCTTGGAAATCAGAGGTGGGGGTAGAGTCTGGCAGAAATAACTCCTTATCAACCTTGTTTTCTCTTTCTCTTACTGTCCCCTGCAGATTGCAAGAGAGCTGCATCAGTTCACTTTTGACCTGCTAATCAAGTCCCACATGGTGAGCGTGGACTTTCCGGAAATGATGGCAGAGATCATCTCTGTTCAAGTGCCCAAGATCCTTTCTGGGAAAGTCAAGCCCATCTATTTCCATACACAGTGAAGCTTTGGAAGCCCCCATTTTCCTCCCCCACCTCACTCCCCTTTTCCAATGTCTTCTGCCTGTTATAACTCTGCACTACTTCTCTGCAGTGCCTTGGGGAATTTCCTCTATTGATGTACAGTCTGTCATGAACACGTTCCTGAGTTCTATTTGCTGGGCTTTTTTTTTTTTCTCTTTTCCTTCTTGCCTCCCTTTCTCATCCTCCATGGCAACTTCACACTCTGCTCCCTGTTGTGGCTCCTATCTGTGTTTTGAATGGTGTTGTATTTCTTTAAATCTGAGATGATCCTCATGTGGCCCAGTGTCAGGTTGTGCTTGTTTACAGCACTGTGCTGTGTGCCAACCACACAAACATTTACTTACCTTATGCCACGGGAAGTTTAGCAAGCTAAAAGTGTCTGAGGAAAAACAAACTAACAAACAGAAAACAAAAAAAAAATTAAAAATAAAAAAAAAAAAACCTGAGAGGACATTTTCCTCAAAATAAATAAATTAATAAGCAGAAATCCCCAAAGAAGCCAACAAGTCACTAGAAGGTAAAAATTGCAGGTCCGCGGGGAGTCACTGTTTTTGTTCATCCTCTCCCTCCAGGAAGACTTTAGCTTTTCCCAGTGACTATTGCCATTAAAGGACAGGGTGACCCCAGAGAGGATCTGGGGGCACAGAGAGAGGAGGAAACAAGTAGGGCAGTTGGATCACCAGTACCTGCCCACAGCCTTGGTCCCTGAGGGCTAGACTGCTCAACTGCAGTGCAATTCATTATACTGAAAATGTGCTTCTTGTTTGAAAACTTGTCTGCATGTGAATGCCTTCCCCCTCAAACCCTTCTCTCTCTCTCAACCTCTGCCTCCACCCTCCAATCAAATTTCAGTAGCTTTTCAAAGAACTTCAAATGAAGTGTTCTCTTTAGCCTAAACTTGACCACTTCCACTGAAGAGTCAGATCAGTGAGAAGGAGAGGAGAGATCTGACCCGTTGGAAGGATCCTATAAATTCCAGTTCTGCTTTCCCATGCGTGATCCAGGGAGGAGCTTGCATCTGGAGTCAGAGAAGAAGGAAGTGATGGCTTGGCTGTTCTGCTTAGGAGACAGTACAGTTGATCCCTTGATGCTACCTTCTTTACCTCCACCTTTAAAAGACCTATGGACTCTATGTGGCCACAAGCTCCCTCCACCCTTCCTTGAGTGTTTTGTAGGCCACACTGCATTTCAGTCATGGTGGTAAAGCTTATTCACTTCTTTAGGCATGTTCACCGATTGTCTGCTAAGATCCCTCCACACTATGAAGGCTAGCCCTGACATCTGTCTCTAGATGCTTGTAGTCTCAGACATCTTACCAAGTGTCTCTAATCAACATTTAGTTTGTTGGAGCCCTTAGAGAAACCCAAAAGAAGGCATCGAAGGGATCAGACAAACTGGGTGTCTTGCCCTTGTCATCCAGAGATGAAACTCTCCAATAAATGGAGACATATCTACTTCCTTCTTCAAAGCAGCTAAAGGGGCTACCCAGATCAAGGTGGAATACCAGGGTTAGAAGAATGAAGACACTAAATCCAGAAAACCTGAAATGCTCTCCTTGCCACCCAGCATATCTGCCTGAAGAACTCATGGCAATAAGCAAGCAGACACCAAGAAAAGACTTTGACTATTAAATAAAGCCTTCAGAGGCAAAGCCTAAAGTCAGAATGGCACAAGTTTACTCAGCCCCCTCCTCTGCTGCTGACCCTGGGCTCTGACATTGACCATAGTTACTCAGATTCCCCACCATTGTTGCTACCTCTATGTCAGAGGGGCATGCAAGACCAATGAGACTCTCTACAGAACCATTGCTTCCTTTGGAAAGGTCTGGCTGTTGTGGCACTGATAAATAGGCTGCCACCCATAAACTCAGGGTATGCCCCTGGATCACTGGTTTCATATAGTCCTTTGGCACACCTCTGTTCTCTGGACTTTGTTCCCCAACCCTGAATGTGGGGTGGGGAGGATGTTCACCTACTTTCTCTTCTTGGCCCCTGCCTCCTCAATTAGCTCCTAACATCACTGGATAAACTCAAGAAATCAAGGGCCAGTCACCAAGCTGCCCATTTTAGTTGGTTTATTCTGCTGGTTGAGAAGATAGTTTTCTGAGTGACATGATACTATTCACATGAGTTTCCGTCCCTGATTTCTGTGTTGATATTAATAGCCAAAGGAACTTGCAAAACAGCTTCTTTAAATAACAAGGGAGAAAGGAATCTAACATGAGTGATATGCCAATCCAAGACTGGTGGACAAAAACTGAAGCTGATAGGTTCCTTTCTGGGATAGGCTAGATTCTGATTTTCTTTGTGATGACACCATCTGGCCTATGTACAGGATCACTTTTTAGCTGTCTTAGACAGAAAAAAATAACATCCACGACTCCTTTCAGTTAAGCTAGGTTACACTTTAATAGTTACTTTACATCTGTTTTGATTTTCATCTTTTGTGGCACACGGATTCAATTATATCATTCTAATACCTCTCCTTGTAAATACTAGAGGCTCTCCTTTCCATTTCTCTATCAAATTTTTCATCTTTATGGATTTCCCAGTCTTGACTTTTGTCTTCATGAATATATGTTTTTCATTTGCAAAAGCCAAAAATCAGTGAAACAGCAGTGTAGTTGAAAGCAACAACAATTGGATTACTCTGAATTTCCAAATGACAAAAATAGGGAAAAAGAGCCTAAACAAGGCTTTAGGCCTACTGATTCTGCACTGGGGTTTGAGTGAGCAGAGGAGGTATTAGCTTGGCTTGGTTCTCCCACAGCTGAAAGAAGAATACTTTTTTTTTTCTTTTGGTCATTGATATTCCAACCAGTGTGACTGACAGAAGTCTCATTTCACATGCACTCTACAAACAGAGTTGATGTGGTTGGTACACTGTGCTCACCTGTGAAGGACTGGCCACCCAGACCCACTCACCTGGTGAGCTAGAAGATGAGGATCACTCACCGGACAAGTCAAGGGGACCATCTCCAAAGAGGTGTGCAGTGTTTGATGGGGATGTAAAGTGAGAAAGAGAAAAAGAGGGAGTATCGTGGAGAAGGCCCCATCTGTGCTGGGCAGCAGATAGCTGCCAAGGTCACGAACTCTAGTCAAAGAAGAGAGTCGTGTGGCAGTTTCAGCCCATTCATTGAGCAGCTCACTGGGTCTGGCCTCTGAGCTGATGTGGGGGTTGAATTCTTTTTCCTTAGATTTTCTATGCCACATACAATATCGTTGTTCTTGGAAAGTTCATTATTTTTTTTAAATTACCTTACTCTGAGAAAGGGAGTTTTTGAAGGATTCTGTCATATATCTTTGAAAAAAAGAAAATCAGTAATGCATATATTTTTATGTATGTTCACTGGCACTAAAAAAAAAAGAAAGAAAAAAAGTTTCACTCTGTCCTTTGGGTAGTTGCTGAGGTTAATTGTTCAGGTAATGAAATAATGTGCTGATGCTCAAATCCCTCTCTGTCCATACTCTACTTCTACATACATGTAGACATATATAAACAATATATTTGTATTTGACTTGTACTTTCAAGAAAATGTCCACCATCCACATGACACTGACACTACACAAATGACCTACCTTTGAGCTTTGAGTAGCTTCTAAGTGTTTGTTTCATTAGGCACAGCACAGACGTGGCCTTTCCCCCTTCTCTCCCTTGATATCCAGCAGGGCACAAAGGCCCAAGCCACCCCCTGTCCCCCTCCTTAGCCGTATGCCAGTGCTGCACTTCAGGAGACTCTCTCCAGACAGCCCAGTAAATATCCCTGCATGACCCCTGCATAGTCCTGGAAAAGCAAGAGGCTGACTACTGATTATTCTGTGCCAGTTGCCCAGGTGAGAGGGCTCTGGGCCGAGGGCATCGCTTTAGTGCTTAACCCACTTTTAGGGGGTTCACACGAACCAGGAATGCCAAAGCACCACATCAAATCCCAACTTAAAGTCAAAAGAAGCCATTTTACATGTGAAATTTCTTGGAAAAGGAAGTTCCTACCCCTGTTGCTTTTATAGGCAGATCTGTTCTCACCACTGATCTCTTTGAAAAAATTTTGAAAGCAGTTTTTTAAAAAAAGACAGAAAAAGAGATGAAAGCATCACATTATGTAACCAAAGATTACATTGTATCTGCTAAGATACCAAAATTTTTAAGGGCAGGGAGGGAGCAAGCATTAGTGCCTCTTTGGTAAGCTATCCAAAGACAGACTAAAGGACTTTCCTGGTGACTGACTTCTAAGAGTTTTGTGGGATTTTTTTCCCTTCACAAAATAATATTTAGAAGAGTTGAAGATAATTTGGAAAAAAAAAATGGGATTCTGGGTCCTTCATTAAGTGATTTTATAAGCAGAAGTAGCTTTCCTTTAGTAGTTGCTGAGCAAATTCTTGAAGCTCCATCATTGCATGGTTGGAAATGGAGCTGGTCTTGGCCACTGTGTTTGCTAGTGCCCATGTTAGTTTATCTGAAGATGTGAAGCCCTTGCTGAGAAGGGGAGCATTTAAAGGACTAGATTTTGCACTAGAAGGACAGCAGGCAGAAACCCTCATTTCTGCCCAGTTTGGACAGCACAAAAAGTTCTCTGCAGTTTAAGGCAGAAGGTTGAAATATATTGTAAATGAGTATTTGTTTCCGTGTTTCAAAATTGAATTATATATATAGAGATATAAAGTGTTCTAATAGCTTTACCTTTCTCTGCACCTTTATATTTGGTTCCAGGTCATATCTGATGCCATGTACTTGTGAGAGAGGCTGCAGTTACATTTTGGAAGCTCTCTCAGAATGGACAAGACACCTGGATTGATCAGATAACTAAAAGATCTCTGCCCCTATTGGGCCTGATGCACAGGCCTTGCAAAGGGGTAGAGGGGGGAAAAGGGTAGGGTATGTGATGTATTGCACTTTACTTGCCTAAGACAGATGAATGTGGAAAGGGTGGTGAAGACTCATTGGACCTGGCTATTTACCATAGGGAATACCCAGACATGGGGTCAAAAGCCCACCTGAATGATTGGCCAATGGCCCCCTGATGGGACCTGAGTTATTGGAAGAACAAAGGGTATTCCTTGGTCTTCAACATTCTTGTGAGAGAAAGGCAGTTGCCTGTAGTTGGGAACCTGGAGCAAGTGCTCCATCTTTC